GCGTGATGTTATCCTCAGGGAGATGCAAGAGGTATCCGCATCATTACTCTGTCTTCTTAAAAATTCAAACTTTATGCTCTGATCCGTTCAAGTCAGATGTTGCGTTGTAGTTCATGTGTGTCATCTCTTGTTTATTAGATGTCTCTGTTTATTCACTCTTCTTAAAATTAGAAGTTTTTTTTTGTTCTGTTCTCTCTGTTCATAGTGTATATGTGTGGAGTCACTATGAGCCTATTTGTTTCTTAGATACTAAAAACATCAAAACTTTTTCCTTTTATTGATTTATAGGCGTAATCCTATGTTGTGTAGTCGTAGAGTAACTATTTCGTGTGCATTTTGCATCTATTTGGTGATATTAGAGTGTGGACTGCTAAGCATTATAGTTTATCACATTGTGGACTGTAATTTATTGTAATTCGGTTGTTCATGCATTCTCTTAAGCTGTAATTTGTTTTTCTGTAGGTGGAGGGACAAACTGATGAAGTTGTTCTTGACCATTTACATGCTACTGCTTTCCAATACACACCTCTTGGCAGAACTATTCTTGGCCCTGCTCAGAATATCAAGTCTATCACCAGAAATGATCTGCAGAACTACATTAAGACTCACTACACAGCTTCCAGAATGGTAAAACATTTGGTTACATTTTCTTATTATTTTCCTCAATCATTTATTGAATTTTTATGAAGCATTATGTTTTTCTTAATTATTTTATTGGCTCATTCCAAAATATTTTCAGGTGATTGCTGCTGCAGGAGCAGTCAAGCATGAGGAAGTTGTTGAGCAAGTGAAGAAGCTATTTAACAAGTTGTCATCTGATCCAACTTCTACTACTCAACTAGTTGCCAAAGAACCCGCTAGTTTTACTGGTTCTGAGGTAAAGACACAACCTCTATGATTTCATCAATTTTTGTTTGCTTGCTGTTTTTCTTCTTTCTAAACCTAATCCATTGAATATTTTTTCAGGTTCGAATGATTGATGATGATCTACCCCTTGCACAATTTGCTGTTGCCTTTGAAGGAGCATCTTGGACAGATCCAGATTCTGTTGCTCTTATGGTTATGCAAACCATGTTGGGTTCATGGAACAAAAATGTTGGTGGTGGCAAACACATGGGGTGAGAATTTACTTTCATGAATTCAAGTTAAGGGTTCTTTCTCCAATATGTTGATGAATATTAACTGTCTGTGCGCAGCTCTGACTTGACCCAGAGGGTTGCCATTAATGAAATAGCGGAAAGCATAATGGCATTCAACACCAACTACAAGGATACTGGACTGTTCGGCGTGTACGCAGTTGCTAAGGTCAACCCAACAGAACAACACAGCTTTTCCTTAGCTGTTACCTCTTTGTTGTATTTTTCAACATAAGCATTTTCCTCTTATTAACAAGTTACTTTTTACAGGCTGATTGCTTAGATGATTTATCATATGCCATTATGCATGAGGTAACCAAGTTGGCCTACAGAGTTTCAGATGCTGATGTGACACGTGCGCGGAATCAGGTTTACTAACACCCAACTGTTTTTCCCTCTCTTTCCCAAGATTCAGCTTCATTTGTTTGTAGAAACATTTACCTGATTTTAATTTTTCCCTTCAGCTGAAATCATCGCTTTTGCTTCACATGGATGGAACTAGTCCAATTGCTGAAGATATTGGTCGTCAGGTATGATATCAATCATCTAAGCATCTTTATAAGAATGTTATAAAATAAGTGCATTGTTCAAAGATAACAGAGCTTAGTTTTCGTACTAGTTTATGCTTACCTGCAAAATCAGTTCTATAAAACTAACCGAGACCTGTGTATTTGTAGCTACTGACGTATGGGCGTAGAATCCCAACCGCTGAACTCTTTGCTAGGATTGATGCTGTTGACGCCAGCACAGTTAAACGTGTTGCCAACAAGTATATCTATGACAAGGTAAGTTAATCTTTCTCTCGGCCTGCTTATTTATCTATACAAGCAAACGCAAGGGTAATAAGGGGAATGGTTTGGGATAATGCGCAGGACATTGCAATCTCAGCTATTGGTCCGATCCAAGATTTGCCAGACTACAACAAGTTCAGACGCAGAACCTACTGGAACCGTTACTAAGCCTCTCTGAAACAATGCTCACAGAACGTCCACAGTGAGACCAGAACAAGGTGGCGATGGATTCATTTTTTTGAGTTTTTCTTTTACTGTAATCTTTCATAATTTCCAATCGTCACTGGTAAAATAAATGTACCATTTTACTCTTTATCCTTCTACAGGAAGATGCTAGAGATCCTCTGTTTCATTGTTTTTTGTTTCTCCTAATAATTTTGCCACACATACTAATAAGTTATTGGATGCTTTGTTTGAAAACCTCAACTGGAATCATTCCTTTCTTCTTGTATTATCCATATTATGTTTTTATACGTATCAATTCTGATGAGAAGGTAGAAGAATTTCTCATTTTGTTGAAAAAAGCTAAGGGATTGTCTTTTCACTATTTTGTCAAAAATATAAGACATGTCTCATTGCTTTCAAAAGTATGGTCATATTGGTAAGGACAAACATTCAACGTTTTATCAATTAACTTCTGATTTGATCCAGTTGACAAATTTGTTCAGATTCTCATAAGAAATGCCATCTTTCACAACATTTTTCATCACAATCTCTCTAATCTTGATAGCTCGCTTTTTAAACTCTCCATTGTCCCTCATGATCTCATCGATCTTCGTCTTCACCTCTAACCTTGAAATGACTCCTCCTTCATCTTGCTCAAACCCTAATCCGATCTTCCACACATCACATATATATGCTTTGTTGATAAATTGGTCTGCAAAATAAGGGATACATAAAAATGGTATGCCATTTTGGACTCCTTCCAAAGTTGAGTTCCATCCACAATGGCTCACGAAGCATCCAATGGCTCTATGCGAAAGGACCTCACGTTGTGGAGCCCATCTCACCACTATGACCTGATCAGACTCAAATCTTATTGGTGGTTGATGACCGTAGCTGGTAACCCACAAGACAGGCCTATTAAATCAACATGCAACTCATTAGGTAATATATATAATAAGTAAGACACACATGTGGAGTTTGTAAAGTAAACCGGACTATTCCCAAACCATTACTACCTCTTTGTTAGTTCTAGACCAGCGGCAAGCTCATCTAATTGAGCTTTCCCCATAAACTCAAAGCTCCCAAAGGCAACATATATCACTGAACCAGGAATCTGCTGGTCCAACCAATCTAGACAATCCCTGTCTTCAGGTAAAAAGCTTCCCAGTGACTTGGCTCCCTCTTCAAGACTATGATGAGCCAAACCAATGGGACCAATTGGTACTATTTTTGGACTCATTTCAAACGCTGCCGTTTCAAGTTCAAACACAGAGTTACATAACAACCAATCCACTGACTCTATTGATTTATTGTTTTGAAGCATAAGGTTGAATATGTTTCTCTGCGAATCTTTGTTCTTCAGACAAACCCACACAAACTTGTCTGTTTCCATCTCTGGCATCCCTGGAGATAGTTGAATTGCCTTGTTCACCTTCGGAGTCCCTACAAGCAGAAAAAAAACGATAGCTATATAAAGCTGATGTAATGATCAAAACTTAAATTTTAATCTTACCATCATAATCAATGAGACCATCATCAACTAGTTTCTGAATACTAAATCCAAGAACCATAGACGCAGCCGCAGCGGGACAAAACGCAGCTCGTCTGATACCAAACTTAGCTGCAACTTCCATTGCCCATCCAAGGCTCTGATCCGCCACAACGCAGCTAATGACCGCACCACCGCAGCCACTGCTAGTTTCTGAGATCATCGTCTTGATCAACTCCTCTACTTTGGTCGGCAGAAAATGCAAAACCGATCCCGACAACTTCCCAGGAACGTTCCTCTCTTCGTCTAAACCGTCTGGGATCGAAACAAGTTTGATCCCATCCACGACATGATCATCTTGGGATGGTTTGGATAAGGAAGTGATGATGCGGTTGTGGTTAAACTCGGTGTTTACGAATGTGACTTGGATTCCTTGAGACGCAAGGTAACGTGAGAAGCTCATTAGAGGAAGAACATGACCTTGTGCTGGGTAAGGTATGACCATAACATGAGGCCTTCCCATTTATCTATTTTGAATTATTATCCAAATAAGAGTTTTGATTCATTATAAAGAAAATTTAGAAGATGATGACAAAATGAAAGGACAACGAATATTCTTAAGAGTAGTGTAGTACCTATTTGAGTTTTGTCGTTTTCCTTTGGGAATCAAGACTAATTTGATACCAAAGCTTGACTTGTATGATACGAAAATAAGTGCGCTTTACATTATTGTAATCATAACAAAATGATAACTCATTAAACTAGAATTGATTTAATTCCATCTCCTAACTCATAAATCATCATCCAAACTTTACATTTAGTTTTTCTTTTCTCGCCATAATTTTGAAATATTACAATCTCTGATCTTAATTTGGAATTTTTTCAAGCCTTTGGAAGTGGCTTGCCTGTCAAGAAATACTCGAATAGCTCGAAAGCAGCACGTGAGCAATAGCACCTCGTGACCTAAATCAACAATCTTGGTTCAGTTCGATGTATTATAGGCTAAAACCGAAGATAACCAAAAAGAATCAGGGTTATAGTCAAATTTTACTTAATTCACAAATTTGTCAACTCTCTAGTCGGGATATAAATTAGGGGTGTAGAAAAGTCATATCATATATAGTTATATTAGTAAACTTACATTAACTATTAGGTAAAATCTACATTTCGCTATATATAATGAAGTGACATAATTTCCATTAATGGAACATTAAAATGGAAAACCAAAAATCAAAATTTCAAATTTATCACTTAAAATGTAAAATTCAAAAAAAATGGAGATAAGAAAATTGGGAAAATGACAAATCAAGAGAATTTAACAATTTAAAGACTAAAAGTCCACACTATAAAAATATGTGCATGCATGAAGTTGCATTGTATCATTCGATCACAATGTCTTTTGCAAGCAGAATGATGAGCATGGCACTCTCTTTTCAAATCATTACAGCTCTTCTCTTCATTACCGTCGTCACTGTCTCCTCATCACCTCCCGGCGGCTTCACCATGGACCTAATCCACCGTCGTTCTAATTCATCTTCTAGTACTGGTCGTCGCTCTAACACTTACGATCAACTCCGATCATCTCCTTACGCCGACGTCATCTATGATACTACCTCCGAAGTGTATCTTATGAAACTCCAAATCGGTACACCTCCTGTCGAGATCGAAGCACTCATAGACACGGGAAGTGATGTCATATGGACACAATGTTTGCCTTGTCTTAACTGCTACGACCAACGCAATCCAATATTCGACCCTTCCAAATCTTCCACCTACGAAGCAGAAACATATTGCGACAACACACCTGACCATTCTTGTGCTTATGATCTTGTCTACGGAGACCAAAGCTATTCCATAGGAAAGCTTGCTACCGAGACTGTCACGATTAAATCCACATCTGGCCAGTCCTATGTAATGCCTAAAACCATTATTGGATGTTCGCACAACAGCTCTGGGAATGTAAGATCCTTTTCGGGCATTGTTGGTCTAAATTTGGGGTCGTTATCACTCGTCTCTCAGATGGGCATAGGTGAAATTTCTTACTGTTTCTCCCCTGAGGAAAGAAGTAGTAAGTTACACTTTGGAAGTAATGCTATTGTGTCAGGAGAAGGGACTGTATCGACCCCTATGTTTATTGACAAGGAGAAACCTTGGTTCTATAACCTAAACCTAGACGCGGTCAGCGTCGAGAAGACTCGCATTGAAACATTGGGGACACCGTTCCACGCCGTAGACGGGAACATGATCGTAGACTCTGGAACCACTTTAACCTACTTGCCCGCGAGCTACTGCAGCCTAGTGAGAGAGGCAGTGGAAAAGGTTGTTAGAGCGGAACGAGTAACATACGAGGACGACGATTCGCTTTGCTACAAAACGGACACAATGGATATCTTTCCAGTGATCACAATGCATTTCAGTGGAGGTGCGGATCTTGTTTTGGGTAAAAGCAATACTTATATGGCATTTAATGGAGACGGCGCCATTTGTCTAACTATTGTATGTGGTCGTCGTGCTATTTTTGGTAACAAAGCACAGAACAACTTCTTGGTTGGTTATGATCCTTCTTCACGACTGGTTTCTTTTAAACCCACCTCCGATTGTGGAAACATAACAATAGACGACCACTCAGTTTCTGCAGCATCGCTTTTTCAGTTTAACATTAACTTTGTTTTATTTCTTTTTGTCCTTTCATTAATTAGTTAAACTATAACAATGTGTTATTTATATATTTCCTTTCATTAATAACTAAATCTTTTTGCCGCAGCTACAAGCGGATTATTTGTTCTTCAGACCAATATAATAGTTAGGTGTGTCTTAGTTAATGCTGGTTTGAAAAACATGCATTTTAGTGATTTACCGTTTTCAGATCCGTTGAATGAAATGCATGCATGATAAACTTACGCGTTACGATTTCATGAATTTATATGTTTAATAAAATATACATGTAGCATCTTTGTAATGATGAGTTTTATAATACATGCAGATCGCGAAACGCAAGACAAACATTATTCACATGCCTAGTAATCATAATTGATTGGTTGTTTGTAAATTAAGTCTTTCTTTGAATCTAAAACTAGATTTTGACTCGCGCTTGAAATCGCGAAAATTTTTTATGATTAAAAATTTATATAATTGAGTTTTGTCTTAATTTAAAGAATATTTTGATATAAAATCAGTTCACCAAAATTTGTGGTGATGATTATTTTTCATAAGTTTTTAGTTTTAGTTTTTATTTTTAGATTTTGGTTTTTGGTTTTTAGTTTTTAAGTTTCTACTTTTCATTTTCAGTTTTTGGTTTGGGTTTTTAATTTTAAATCCGCTGAGTTAGTTTGAACTAATATTACCAACAAACAAATCTCAAATAATCGAACATCTAATTCAAAACTGAAAAGATGACAACAATTTTTTTTAAAAAAAAAATTGAAATAGTTTATTTTGTAAATAAACAAAGAAAAAAAATATAACATGTGTTTTCAGCTTTTGGTTTTGGATTTTTGTTTTTAGACTTGGTTTTTGGTTTTCCTTTACATTTTTTAAATCAGTAAATTATTTAATAAAAATAAAACAATAAATTATTTAAAAGTTACCATTAAAATTTATCAAAACAAAGTGATTGTTAAAATATATTAACATGTTTTAAAGTACATGATTTAAATAAATGATTAATAATAGATAATTTTGTTTTGTTAAAAATATTAAATATCTTTTGGGTCTGAAAATAATAATTGATTTTTTGATCTTTTAAGGTGAAAAGTTTATTCAATGTTTTTAGAGTTTTTTTCTTAATACTAAGCCCAAAAGCCAAACTATATAATTTGTTCAGAAAATAAAAGTAAGCCCAAGACTATATTCCATAAATAACCACTGGTTTAATTTAAGTATAATTAGTAGATTTCCATATTCCATATTTTGATGATATATATTCTTTTAGAACATTCCATATTTGTAGGAGAAAATATGTGTTTTCGGTATACACATAGGTATCTGCCATATTTTGAAGGTAATTTACATTAAGGTTGTCTCTTTACATTAATTGTGTTGGTTTAATTTAAGTAATACGGTTCAATCAATTATATGACTTATATTATTTGTAACATTCTAGAAAAAGTCCAAATTTAAATGACAACTTGTATCAGTAGATAAAAAGAATGACTCTATTTTAATAGAGTAGATATTGTATGTGAAGAGGAGAACAAAAGATAAGTCCAAGAATAGCAACGACATCATTTATATCAGCTCCAAAGTATAAACAAACACATAGATAATTAACAATGAGATCTCACCTCCAAAATATAATAATAAATTAATAAGGAAGTAATTCCAAATAAAATTAGTCTTAGTCAATTAGGATTCCAAATAAAATTAACGCCGTATTCTACCTTTCCTCCTCTGTGACGAGAGAGAGCAACATGCTCAAAAGTTTGAAATAATAGAAAAAAAGAAGAACCCGAGATCAATAATATAAAAGCCAAGAGGAGAAGAGATCCAATCTTTTTATATGAACGCCATGAGGGAGAAGCCAATAAGTGCGAGTGCGATAGTAATAATCAAAGCCTTATCATTCCCATTCCTTGAAGGATTAACTCAGACTGTCTCATCTATAAACTCTGTTCAAAAAAATATTAATCATATTAATGGTATATTTAATGATTTAATAAAAAAAAAAAAATTAATAATTAAGTTTGATATATATTTTAAAATTATAAGGCTTAATCTAGCAACATATTTAAACTTTTAAAATTTTGTATCAAATTTTTTATAAAATCTTTAATTTTTTCTTATTTTTTCTTATTTTTTACTTATTTTTTTCTTATTTTTATAGTTGGACCTTGTTTGATATGCATATACTATTAGAAGTCTATGGATTAACCGGACCAAACGCAGGAGGACCTACAGTCCTTTAATACAAAGTATGTATTAAAACTGAGAGATAAATTCTTATGAGAGACAAAATTATTAAAAATGCATTGTAAATTTTACTAAACATACCAAGGAATAGGAATTGAAGGAACAACTTCACCTACTCTCTAGCATCACACCAAAACAAAAAGGTTATTAAGTGAAACAAGAGTTGAAAACACATTTGGAGCTAAAAGGATTTACTTGTATGGATCCTTGGCGAAAGGTATTAGACTACTATAGCTGTTTCTGGATATAACATTCCCCTAACAACACAAAGAAAAAATCTCATCATCTTATCTCTAAAATCCGTTTTATAAAATTTAACGATACTTGTAGCTGCTGACCTATGGGAGAAGAATCCCAACTGCTGAATTCTTTGCTAGGAAATGGATCTTCTAGGTTTTGGTTTAGGTTAGTGTTGCTGTTCTGGTCTCAAATTCATCATTTCCCACACTAAACCGGAAAAAAAAAAACATGTAACGTGGATGTGGTTCATATGATTGCTGTCACTGGTTTTCAACACTTTAGTCAACAAGTTATTCCATTATATAATGCATTAGAATAGACTCGTTATACGGGCAGGAAATAAATAATACAAATTATTTAATATATTTAACTTATTTTTAATTGAAACTAAAATTAATTTCATGTTTCATAAAATAATTTATCTATTTATCCGATTATTCATTTTAAAAATCGTGCTTATTAATTATTAATAGATTTATAGACGAAAAGAGTTAGGGATATTGATTATTTTAGTGTCTAGGAGTTATATTTCAATGTTATTAGGGGTTGGTATTTGTATATATTGCATAAACATGGGTTTGAAAACACAATTATAATTTTTGGGACAATTTTGAGTATTTTTCTATACGCAACCAAAGTTTTGGGGTCAAACTGAAATTTGTCAAAAAGCTTAGGGTCCAAAAGTGCAAACCATCAGAAAGTAGTCATTGCTGTGCCATGAGTTGCAAAACGGTCGACGTGAAGAACCTAGATCCCTCAATATGTTATGCTCGACCTCTCCAGCTCAACCCAAACGCCGATCTAAACAGTTTAAGAGTTCCCATCAATCGATGAGTACATATGTAGTTTGGTCACTTCATGTCCATCGATTCAAAGCTTGAAGCTTTTGGTGTGTAAAGACCAAAAAGACCAACAGACAAAGATTGGAATACTCGATCATCCTGTCTCGACCCAACCTTGTTCCGACGAACACAAATCGACCGAAACATAAAGCTTAAAGCGCTCGACTCTACATGTTCGAACCAACAATGGCGATTGACGGCTGTGACGATAAAGGTAGCGGAGGCAAACTCAATCGAACAGAGGAAACATGACCATGGTGGCTTTGGCAAGAAAAAGACATAGTGGTGATTGTCTCGGTCCACTAATCATAAATTTTTGTTAAAGTCCATAACACCAAACGAAACCATCGATCCTTTTTTCAGATGTGGATACGTGGTGAATTTTCCCTCTTCTATTTAGTGACGTGGCAACATAAAAAGCGAGAAAACTTTTCTTTGTATAATAAGATTATAAGAATCATCTTGTCAAACTTTTTTTCACCATCATCATTCTGTGAATCTTACCTCCACTTTTTTTATCACCATTGTCATCACAAACATCACTAGTCTTTGGAATTTTACATCCACATACGGTTCATTTCCAAACTTTTTATTACCATCATCATGATTCTATGAATTTTGTGGACATACAAGGCATGTCTCATTGTTTTCAAAGTAATGGTCATATTATTAGTAAGGACAAGCATTCAAAGCTTTATCAACTAACTCATTAACTCTAAGATTTGCTTTAATTCAAACTCATTACTCATAAATCATAACCCAAACTTTACATTTAGTTTGTTTTTCCCGCCATAATTTTGAATATTACAATCTCTGATCTTGACTTGATTTTTTTTTTTCAAGCCTTTGGAAGTGGCTTGCCTGTCAAGAAATACTTGAACATCTCAAAAGCAGAACGCGGCTTGAGCAATGGCACCTCGTGGCCTGCTCCTCTCACCGTCACGAACGTTAGCCCATCGTACACTTCCGTCCACCCTCCGACCTAGGTTCACAACGTCGGTTATTTCATGTTTTCTTTCTAAACCGGAGATAACAAAATAAGAATCAGCTGGATTTCACTACCTGTTTCTTGACATACCAAGGATACCAAGGGACTTTGGTACTCAAACTAAGCTTTGCTAATGAGTACCTAGTCGCCGTCACTGGTACAACGGAATCCACATCACCACTTAACCATATAACAAAACGAAAAAGGATTAACGACTTTGGTAATATTTCACGGTGATATCACTAAAATAACAAAAAAAAATTGCAGACCTGAAAACCCAAACCCTAAGCCCACCGGCAATCATTTCCCGGTATATAGGTAGAACCGATATATCTGAGTCGTTCCAATTCCGGTTTAGTACCTCACTGCCCACAAAATCAATTCTAATTAAAACCGACAAATAAATTTTTTAACATATGATCCAGAGTTATGGTATGAACCTGCAAGCAGTCCATTTGTAGGGAATCTTGGTGGTGTTAGCATGAAGAGCTTTCTGAACATCAGGCCGGTTATAATAGATCTCTGCATATCTCTCGGTACATGGATCATACCCTGATATTTTCCTCAACACCTAATCCCAATAACCGTTGCAAATTGAACCATAAACATAACCGGATGATCCAAACCAGAAAGCAAAAGAAAAACAGAGAGGCTCTTACTGAGTGAGGAAGGTGGGGGAGATGCATACTCCGGCGATCAGAGGAACCAGTGGCTCCACCGCCACCTTCTTTTGACTTGTTACACGGCGGTGCATAGATGTTGTACTGATCGATGTTACCAAACTCTTTCTCCATCGCGTAAGAGTAAAGAGTCTCACATTCATCAGATTCCGTCTGTCGACTAAAATCGCAAGTGTTTATCAGCTGATGATACGTCCTATCAGAGATCATCGCATGGCTCCACCAATACGTCACCGTTCCAAGGTTATCATAGTGATTGTCAGTCACGGCGTTTCCCACCTTCAGCAAACAAAAAAATGCGAAGATTCATTTTATCTTATAGTAATTGAAAACAGAGGATCTTGACTTTTTTGTAGATTACCATGATTCCTTTGAGATTGATTGGATTTTTAGAACGTTTGTTATAATGCATGATTTCTCTAGCGAGCTGAGGAACGTAATGTCCGGCGTAACTCTCGCCGGTGATGTAAATCTCACGGCGGTTGTATCTCGGAAACCGTTGAAGCCATTTAATGAGAAACTGAAGTGAATCTTTGGCTGCAAGACAGAGAAAACAGAGTCTTCGGTTAAGGTAAACCATGAGTAATTTAATTAATAGAGATTGGTTTTTGGTTTAGTTATATACCGGTGCGGATGTCGCCAGTGTTGAAGAGATCAGAGGAGTTGCTGGTGTAAGAGAAGCCGACACCGGCGGGAGCTTCGAGGAACAAGAGATTAGCGAGTGAGTTCCACGCGAATTTGTTGAGATACAGACCGGACCCACCTTTGCTTATCCTGAATGGTCCAATCTCTTCCGAAGCACCGTACGCTACCGACGAACAACCCGGTCCTAATCAATTTTTTTACATATTAAAAAATTTAGACAAATGAATAGTATTTACTAATTGTGTTGTTTTTTTTTTTGTAAATTTGATAAATAAAAATGAAAGTTGAGATAGAGGTTGAATTTAAGAAAAGAGACCAACAGTTAGGTGTGTATTAAATAGTGTCTGAATGCTGGTTTGAAAATTGCATTTAATGATTTTACAATTTTCAACAGTTGCAAATTACTCTACTGAATCAACATGCATGTTAAACTACGCATTACGATATCATGAACATAAATGTATAATAGAAATATTCATTCAACATCTTAGTAATGAGTCTAATGACGAGTTGTATAACATACGCAAATCTCTTACTAATACGTAACATGATTGTTTTATTTTAGAAATGTGGGCTCCAATAAATAGTGAGTGTTCAGTGGTAGTTAGGGCATTATTCGCATGCCTCTAGTAGGCCAAACCCAATATATAGTAGTATTATAAAATATAAATAATAGTGTTACAGATTAAATAAATTGATTACCAAAAACGGCTAAATGAAAATTGATAATGTTTACATATTTAAAAAGCAGATAATGTTTAAGGGTTACATTACCTCCATTGAGCCAAATCACGAGGGGTTTGGATAGAGGGAGGTGAGAAGCTTCGGTGAGCCAATAGAACAGGGATCTTCCGGAGTGTTTACCGACGGTGACATAGCCGGAAAACTGGTCAAACGTGACGTTTGGTTGACCGGGGAGTGATGCAATCCGATCTGCCTCAGCTTGTTTCTCTTCTTCTCTTGCTTGACTTCTCCCTTGAGATGTCATTACAAGTATGGCCATGAGAGTGGTGAAAAGTACGCATTTTACCATCGCCATGGTCAGAAGGAGGGGAAAATAACCTAGAGTGTGTCGGAGACTTTTCAGATCGGCTTCTACAGTTCCACCTTTAGCTTGTCTTAAATAGAGAGAGAGAGAGAGAGAAAGATAAAATGAGAAGAATGACATTAAGATTATATAATAATAAATATATATACTGGAAACAATGTTACTATATATTTACTCTGTTGTATGGTCAACAATAAGATCATAGAAACAAACTAATGTCATTAATAGAAAATGTGTTCAATTGTTTGGAAAGACAAAACAATCTCAAATAATATATTAAAAACCAAAATATTAATTTTTAAACGTGATATTTCAGCAGTTTAGTTAATTATTTTTCCTTTCTGTATGGTTTTTGTAGTTTGACTCTTTTAATTATGTTTTTTTATGCTATTATTACCGTCGGCTTTAGTCATCTTGCTAAATTATTCTAAAGTTTATTACTTAACTTTTGCCAATAAAACCATTGGACCGTTACTTCGCCAGTCGTTTAAACTCTAAAACTTGAATACTATTAAACCAAATTGTACTTTTTGTTTAGGAAAGCGAAATATTTTTCTTTTGTTGGCTCGTGTGTTCGAGTTTATTCGAGAAAGGATAAACAACAGCCAGAAATGAGTGATGGTAATAAAAGGCCCACCAATATTGTCAGTGACAGTAACTTTATGAAATATGGAAGAAGATACAATGATGACTTAAATGACACCACCAGCTTATAATAGTCGATACGTTACTTGATATGACAGAGCATTAAATCAATCGTGTGTTCATATATCTATACCACATCTCCACATGCATGTAACTTTAAACTAATGTTGGGTACTGCGGTTACTCTTATTACAAAAATGAAGTTAGATTTCTCTTGGCCATTTATTGTTTCTTGTTCTCAATAATAGATATGTTAAATACATGCAAGAAATATGTAAAACTGTTTTACCGAAAAAAAATACAAAACTGTGTTTGGATCCATGCAAGAAATTGATGTATGGACGTTATGGGAAAAGTATTTTCTCCTTTTCTACTGATGAAGTACCTACAACTTTGACCATCTTTTCATAGGTCACCACGATAATTCCCCTTTTTCTATTTTGTATTCTACTTAAAAATCATTTTTCTCTACTCTATAATTTATATTTACATTCAGTCTCACTTATAGGCGTGGTGAATAGATTAGTGGTCCTGGAAGCGATGAATGACTTCTTGATAATCAATGTTTGTGGCTTCTATATAACTTTATAATTATCCAACAATCACAAAAGTTACATTGCTAGTTGCAACATAAGCTGGACACATGTGATTAACTGCATGTTTTATCGTCAAGTTTATTTCGCGTATCTGTCCATAAAAGTAAACTAATTTTGGAAGAATCTGACATTTGCTTTAGAAGATTCTGATCCCGTGCTTAGCAAAATACGTATATTTTTTACTTTCCTGTCTTATAAAGTATAACAAACTTTGTACGAAAAAATAAAATGACTAAAAGTAATTTAATGAAATTTAAAGAAGCACAGAAGTGGTAGTTGGCATGTGGGATAGATATTAAAGTTTCATAGTAATGAAGCTTTCGTATCTCGATCTAAATATACAGATAACCATTAAGTTTTTTATTTATTTAAAAGGAAAAGAGTAAATGTGAGATAGCAGTGAAACGAGTGAGGTCGAATAGTGTTAATGTCATTTCAAGAAACTGTGCTTACGTATATTTTGTCCTAACATATTGAGAGTTTGTGTCAGTGTCTTTCTTCTTTCTTCCTTTTCTCTTTCTGTGACGTTTTTAAGGACATGAGAGCGGTGAATCTCTGCAAACCTCACGTACCATTACAGTCGCTTATGTCACCATCCAATCATAAGTCGCTGCTCCTGCAGCATCTCCTCATGTTGGTGGATATTTTATATTAGGCTTGGCCCAACTAAAACTAGGACTTATCATATCGGTTAAGCTCTGAACTCAGTTCATGGCCCATCCATTTGTTTCTCACTCCTATCTATCTCTCTCTCTCTCTCTAAAATGGAGTCACAAGACTCACAACAATCAAATCTAGAAAAACCTCTCAAAATCCAGCCCGACCACCACAACACCACCCTAAATATAGATGTAATTTTAGGTGTAAATGGTAAAATAACAATTTTTAGAAAGATTAAATATAGACTTCATTTATAAATATAAGTTAAACTATACAATATATTGGTTATGTTCATATAAACTTCATACACAGTACTAGTTATTAATTTATATACACTAGGACTATATTTTTATAAATAAAAAATCTAATTTATTATTTTATCGAATTATATCATATTTTATATAAAATCAATTTCAAACTGAACTTTATTAATTTATCATATTTATTAAATTATGTGATGCTAGTTTATAGAACTTCTATTGTATTGTAATTTGTTGTTACTTCTCACATACAGAAGTCCAACATACGCAATGATGTCTCCGGTTACGAAAGGTCTTCTTGCAATAAGCAGAAAAGCTTTAGGTTCTCTGGTTTCACACAGTTTCAACTTATCCAAGGTTCTACTTTTTCATCATGCCAAATCGGTTCATTAACTGCTGCCGCTTGCACTCACTGATTGTTGTTTTCAGAGTCAAGATCAACGCAAACCGAAATCCGGTCTATCATTATCATATGTCGGTTGTTGAAGCTGATGACATTGTTAATTTGTGGATCGAAACCGAAGAAAGTTTTTGCATGTTTTAGTTTTACCCTCCAAAGATTGATTAAACCAACAATTATTTGACAAGTGGTAGTGAGCTGGTGTTCTATTCTCCATGTACAATCCTCCTAAAATTAGTAAGGAATAATAATTAATAAACAAACACACACTAGAATCAAATTATAGTTTAAAACTAATCCCTTACTTTAGTTCTTAAATCGTTCTTGTTTAGATATTTCACGATCTAAAAGCTAACTGAAAACGAACAAACAAAAAAACTTCTTTGCTACTTTTTTGTTACTCTTGTTTTTGTATTTGTTTTTTTTTTTTGGTTACTTCATATAAATAAAATAAACCCTTGTTAGTTTTATTCTCAATCATTTCCCTCTCAATTATAACTTCTCTCCGGATAATCAATTCGTTTTGCAACTCAGTTTTCTTCAACCACACAAAAACATTGAGCTCTATTTTTTTCCTAAAACTTCTTCTACACAATCACACAACAAATGGAAATGAAAACTGAAAGCAAAGAAGAACAATGGACGGATTCGATTTCTCAATCTTCATCTTCACGATCTTCATCAATAACATCTGATTCTTCTGATGGACATTTTGATATCCGACACTTTCCTCTTCCTAAGCCAACATTGTCTGCAGCAGAGGCACAGAAACAAAGAGAGACACATCAGGCTTATACTTCCTCCGTGAGCTCTTACACCGGTTCGTCATGGTCCTCGGTTCACCAGAACAACCTTGCTGACTTGCCCGGTTACGATCCAAACCGGATACCATCTTCGGTTTTCATTAGTAAACCGTCTAATTCCGCGGATTGGAGTATAGCTTCTAATGAATCCTTGTTTAGCATCCACGATGGGAATTTTAGCATTTCAACAAAGGAAAATCAAGGAGTACCTGCAGGGTTGAGATTGAGTGAGATACCAAGATTTGAAGAACCGGTTCACGAGATAACCGAAAGCAAACCGGTTCCTCTTCCTCTTCCCCCTCCTCAAGTTCAGGTAAAGAAACCCACAGAACCTGAGAAAGAAATGATTCTAGAGAAGAAACCAAACAATGAAGAAGAAGAATCAGACTCTGAGATTAACAATGATGATCAAACAGAGATAACTGAACTAGAAAGTGACAAAGAACATGAAGAAGAGGAAGGAGAAGATATGTTTGAAGAGAAGTTTGAGACACAAGAAAAGAAAGAAGAAGTAGAAGATGCGAGGGATAATAAAACAGAAGATACAAACAGTACTGTTTCACATTCCCCTACCATTTCATGTCGTTCGGACGCAAGCAATAACAGCGTTTGCTCTTTCGCATTCCCAGTGTAAGTAAAGAAAAAAACATTATTGATGCTTTCTTGCGCATGAAGAAACTGTTGAAAACCCTAAAATAACCTTATTTGGTATTCATTAATGCAACAGATTGCAGAAAGAAGATGGAATGGACACAACGCCGTCTCTGGAAATCAGAGGGAGCGTTTCACACAAGACAAGACCAGAGTATCTGCAGCCTCAATCGCCGATGCAAACGGCCCAGCCAGAACAGCTGCCTCATTCAGTGCCGCAACCGCAATCACAACCACAACGAAATGCATCAAAGAAAACAGAATCCCAGACGCAATCGCCAAAATCATGGACAAATGGTTGCTTCTCTTGTTTCCACTGTCCTTCAAAATGCTGGTTTTTCAAGTAGAGCAAAAGTTTTGTTACCGAATGTTGTATACTGATTGAATGATGATATAACTCTTATGTAATGGTGATGCATAGAAAGAAAGACCACATTTTGTTATTACTTTATTTCTTAACGTATTTTATATAGTTGGCGCTAAAAGACAGATATAATTCACTACAAAAACAAACTTCATTTTCTAATTATTCGCTTTAAAAGGTTATAATTCCTCTATATATCCCATACATGTGGTTAACGTGTTGTGTACATGAAAAAATCCATGTGGTTGGTCTCTCGGGTGTAAATTTAAAGAGAAATGCAATGGAAGGTTGAGCTCCATCTCTCTCCCTCTCTCTATGGTCTCTGAGTTGATGAGGGGAAGGATGACATAAAGCACTTACAGAATTGTAACTAATGTCTTTTTCACTTGTAAATTGCTTTATGTAGTTTGTGGAGTTTTTTTTTATAATCTTCATTAAAAATGTCCTAATTAAAAACCGTTCTAGAGTTTTTGAGAAAAACAATTAACCTTTGTAGAGTTTTGGAAGATGTTATCTCTGACTCTCTAAAGATCATGTATAGCTAAATCCAACTAAAAAAATTAGAATACAAATAATCAAAATGTATAAATGACCAATTAATTTTGCTTTGAAAGTTTTTAAAAAATGATAAACCCTAGTGTATTAAGTTTTAACTTCAAGGAAGAAGAAGGTAGTTTAAAATTGTATAAAAGATATATTTATGATAGCGATTTAATTTGTTTTCTTAATGTGTTTAATTAAAGGAAATAGTAAGAAATACATGCATATTTCATTCAGGTTAAGTAAACTGTTTTTAAAACACATATCAGACTTTGATCAAAAAAAAAAAAAACACACATATCAGACTTTTTCTAATTATTTTTTTCTACATAAAATTAATATACCAAATTATATGAAAGACTAATAACTAATTAGAAATGCTCTGAAATGAATATTTCAATATTTGAGATCTCCATTCAGTTTGAGATATTTTGAAATGAGTATTTCAATCGATGAAATGGAGATGCTCTAACAGTAAGAATTTGTCCATTGGGTTTTACTTTTGCTCTCTGCATTTCTGTTTTTGGCTCAAACCTTTGAATCCACGAAAGTAGCACACAATAAATTAAAGGGAGAAATGCTTTTTTTTTTTTGCTTAAAAACAATAAATTAAATGTTAAGATAGTATATTTGAATATTGTACACGTGAAAAAAGTTCTCGTTGTAAAACTGAAACTTGCTTACTCTGTAGTGTGCATGTGCACACCATTATACAACGGTAGATATATTACATAGGTAAAGTCTTGCTTAAACTCATCTACACTCATAAAACACAATAGGTTGGGAATGACAAAAGTAAAATAGAAATACATATGTTGGGTTACTATCGAGTATCTTACCATACCGGTTGAACATAGGGATTGGTGTTTGGGATAGGAACAGTGCAAAGAAAAAGTTTATTACCCTAGGCTATATAGAAACCGGTTCAGTAGTTATGTTCTCTGATTTTTAACTGATCTTTTTTTATTTGTCTAAATTGTAAATATCATTCATGAAATGAAGGTTTGGTTATATGAAGATGAACCAAAATGTCCTTACAAGCCATTCTGTTTTTAGAAGCCGCAAAAGTTTTTAAAACTTCTAAAAACATAAATATGGCTCAAAAACAACCATATAATGTGTTAAAGGAGCCAATATTATGATATATCAACCAAGACATATGATCTGTAATTACCGTTACCTGGATTCAATTTATGTCAAAAAAGATTATTCATAATGTTTGAGTTTCCGACAAAGAGTTGAAACCATATTTTTTTTAATATACAATCCGACTATTGTTAATAGATATATGCAGCATATGCTTGTCACTTTCCTCCAAAGTAAAATTTAGTATCCCAACAATTACTCTAAGCTCAGGCACTGTATTGCATGCATGCGTTTGTTTTATATCAAAATAATGAATACACATTGAATTTACATATTTTGAAGGGAAATTTGGGGGACCATTGAGTAAATAACTCTCTTTCTTTATCTTCTGTTTTCTTCAGTTTTTCTCTCGAGATGCCCAACCTCTTCACTCCTCATCTACCTTTTAGCGAATACATATGATATAACAACGTAATAAATACACTTTAATAGTGTATCATCATTTTTATCTTTAATTTTATTTAAGAGTCACTTTGTATACATATGTTATAGACATATATAAACAACTACTCCATAGAACGAACATTCACAACTATATATGGCTAATATGCTCAAACACACACAAAATTGAACACAATCTACAGTAACTATATTAGCACATTTTTAGTTAATTATTTCACATGCGGACTATATATCAACGTTTTTAGAAGAAAGACCAGTTAATGTTCTGGAATACTGAGTCAACTATATGATGATAGAATCTCAGGAATGTGGCTTCTATCTATATATATCTATATAGATAACGTGTATGTATAATTTTGATAGAGATCTCACACTTCGATGGAGGAAACTAAATTGTATACGTCTCGAAATGGCATGCGTACCGACAGCATTGTATACATTTAAATATATTTTTTCCAAAGGCCGTAATTACTGATTGAGTTTTCTATTTTGTGTCTGTTGCTATCTTTAGCTTGTTATTCATATGGAGTATATATGACAACCATTACGAATTATATTTGGTCGCTATAATATTAAAAAAGGAGTTATGGATGAAGAATTACCGTTCTCATGATCAATTATTAATTATGACGTTACAAAGTATAGAAAAGCTATTAAATCCAACCTTGTTCATGAGACCACAAACATTTGGAGTCGGTGAAGTAGACATGACTTAGTGGATTCTTAGTTTGTCCGATTTCTTCTTTTTACCATGTGATGTCTTAAGATATCATGTTCATCATCACCCTTTATTTTACTCACTACCTCTGTTTTGTTTCATAAGGATATATATTGCTTTCGTCCCTTCTAATTTTCCTATTAATATCTTACACTCATCTTTTATATAAAGACAATGTACAATTTTGATACAATTGTTTAAAGTTAATGTTATCGAATCATACAAATATTTATACTCTCACACATGACGCATATATTACTAGAACCACATGTTAGAGAGAAGAATATATAGATTATTTAATTTTCCATCAAAGCATACATTTAAATATATTTATTACTAGATCCAAATGTTAAAACGATTTTCATTTAAAGACAAATTAGGGTTTAGTGATGTCTAATAAATGTACCTGTGTTAAAAAAGGCAGTCATGACTCAACATGGTACGCGAGGCGTGCTTTTTGAGTAATCCACAACTTTTAAAAATTTGTCGATAACAGCAGGCCCTTGCACATATACAATATAACATATCGTATATGTAAGTTGCATTTCAGAGGTGGTCCCCCATATATATATATATATAAAACTAGGTCTAATTTACTCAAAAATATAATTAATTATATCTATATTTTAAATTCGAATACCCATAAGATATCCAATTTAAAAGGTGGATAAAAACTCTTAAGCATAAGCTACATATGCTAAACTGTAAAAGCCTAGTTCTGATGATTTACAAACGTTATGTAAGAACATCATCGTTAAGTGATGGCTGTTTAATTTACATCATTGATGATAAAGTGATGTTCGTTTAATCGGTCATAGTATCATTATTATAGATCCAGCAGAATCACTTTTACTAGTGACTGCAAATCTGCAATGGCGGCTGCAAAACCTGGTGGATTAAAATTTTGGAAAAGGAGAAAAAACTCTTTTTTTGTTCAACCATTGCATTAATTTAAAATTTTGGAAAAGAAGAAAAAACTCTATAAGTCCCGACTTTATAATTATATCAACAAAATTACATTGCATACAAATGCTGCTTACTTGCTTCACTAATTTATCAACGTCTGATCAAATTAAATACTCGAGCATTATATATCCCTTTCATAACGATTAACATTGAATTGATAAAAAACGAGTTTTTATAATGTTTTGTTTATTTCATCTAAAGAGCATTAGTTAGATGTTTTGACAAGCTACTATTATGTATAGCTTCACGTCAATATATGCTCAAAATTTGCTATCTTCACGTATACTTGTTTGGAATCTTCTTCTTAGCCGTACTATACTTGCCATTCATATCTCAGACGTGGATAAAATGATATCCGACTTGTGTTTCTCGTCCGTATATAGATTTGCAGATATGATATGATCCATAATATTAAAGATGAAAATGAATTTGACTGACTAATCAAAGCATTTATTTTATTTTCCCTTAGGATAGTGAAATATGCCACGTGGCGATACCACATCCATAGCTTTTTAACATAAATACTTTAGTCGCAATTCTTCTAAATTTTGGAGGCTTGTGATATTGGTAGGGTTCTCATATTCACTTCCAAAAGCATCTCCCTCTTTCTTGTTTTCTTTTTCTTTTCATATTCTCATTTTATTCATGCTTTTAGCAAGAAAAACCGAATCAAATTATTCTTTTCTTCTCTCTATTTCTCATCCTTAATCAGTCACTTTTCTTCATCATCATCTTATTACTCAATTTATAAAATAGCAAAACCCTAGATCTGCTGTTCAAGCTTAAGACCGTACAGATCAGGAGCTCAAGTAAGCAAACACATATCTCATTTCTTATATCTATAAAGAAATCATTAATAAACCCTAATTTTCTTCAAATAATTTTTAAAATAATTTGTATTTCGTGGATTTCACTATAATATCGATCACTTGTTTACAAAAAATCAGAAACCCTAAAGGATGATATGCTATTCTTAGAAATTTTAAACTAAATTGTTTTTTTTTAAAGATCTCAACAGTGTATTATGAACACCGTACCTTGGAGAGATGCAAACGATGTTTTAGGCGGGACTAGGACAAGACGTGACGGAGAAGTAGAAAAAGATTCAGAAGAAGCTGTCGTCGTAGCCACCAGTGGCAAACCCGTAATTAAGAAGCTGCCAACCTCGATTTCTTCAACTTCTTCGTGGATGAAATCGAAGGATCCAAGGATTGTTAGGGTTTCACGCGCGTTTGGAGGCAAAGACCGTCACAGCAAAGTGTGTACGTTGCGTGGTCTACGTGACAGACGCGTGAGATTATCAGTCCCCACGGCTATCCAGCTCTATGATCTGCAAGAACGGCTCGGCCTTGACCAGCCTAGCAAAGCCGTTGACTGGTTGCTCAATGCAGCCAAAGAGGAGATCGATGAGCTTCCTCCGTTACCCGTCTCGCCGGAAACTTTCAGTCTTTTCAACCATCATCAGTCATTCTTGAATCTTAGTCAACCACCGGGTCAAGATCCGACCCAACTCGGATTTAAAATTAATGGATGTGTACAAGAGTCTAATACTACTACTACTAGCCGTCAAGAAAATAACAATCATCACATTGGGTCTTATGGAACCTATCAAAACATGGAACATCATCATCATCAACAACATATGAGTTTTCAGGCAGATTATCATCAACATAGTCTTGTCCCATCTCAGTCACAGTTCTTGGTATGCCCAGTGACGACATCATCAACAACTACTACTATACAATCTTTGTTTCCCTCATCGTCATCATCAGCTGGTTCGAGGACTATGGAGACAACAGATCCGAGGCAAATGGTAAGCCATTTTCAAGTGCCAATAATGGGTAGTTCTTCATCATCAGCTTCATCCCGAAACATTTCGACTCTTTACTCCTTGTTGCATGGTAGTAGTAGCAGCCCCATGCCGTCGGTCCAATTCAACCGGCCCAAGTAGAAGTGCTAATCTAATGTGAAAGTAGATTATGGAAACATATGTTTAATGTGCTCACAAGTGAGGAGACACAAAACAATAATAACATGGTACTTAGCATTGTACCTTTTTCCTAACTTCTACACAAGTTAGCGTTGTAATTGATTTATTACCATGTGTGCCTGTGTTTGGAAAATTTATCATCTACATGTAGCTTCTTCGTAGGATGTGAGACTCTGAGTACACACAAAACACAAACATTACATTTTAATTTATTTAGGGTTCTTTGTATATAAGTAACTGGAAAAAAATTGTATAGATTTCGAAAATGACAAGCTAGATAAATTTAGAATCATGGAAAGGCAGCTTGATATAATGTGAAATAATTGTAATATTTGCTGTGACCTATTAACTGAGGTGCTATATGAGATGTATGTTTCTATTTGATGCGCAATGCAGAATTGATGTGGTTGTTGCTAGATAGTATATGATGATAATTCATGATGACTAGACAAGTTTTAAATCAATAAAACCAATTTCCCAAATGATATACCCAACTTATTATAGAGTGTCAAGTGAATCAGATAAAAAGTAAAAATTCATTGTGAAGGTTTGAGCACATAATTAAATGTCCTAGTATTAGTTAGCATAGTATATACTATATAGTACGTCACATTTAGACTCAAGGTTTTAATTAATACGCAATTGCATTTAGAAGTTAAGATCACGCATCGCCTAATGCTCTCGTCGGTTGTAAACATTAAATTATTTTCCTTACTCTGTTAATTGAAACTTATATTTAAAGTGTTTAGGGATGTATAGACGAAGGAGTAAGAGGAGATAGTTAACTAGGGGTAACAAAAAAGTTTGTAGACAAAAGCATGTAATTATGGGTACGATCTTTGATATCGATTAGAGTAAAAAAGGCTACCGATCCAATGCTCTGTGACACTGTCATATCTCAATCATACTTTCTGCAAAAAGCTTCCATGTCAATCTCTAGCTATGATGCAGCGTCTATGTACATATATATATGTAAATAATTCAAAAAAAACGAGAATAGAATATTATATCTATATATGTTCTATTTTTATATAGATATCATATATATAAAATACTTCTATATACTGTATGCTCTATAGAAGTAGAGATTGTTATAGTGATATCTATAGCATTACTCAGAAACTAGCAAAAATGAAAGGATGAATCGGCTGAAAATACAAAAAGAATTTAGTAATTAAGAAAATATCTAAATATTGTGGGGAAATAGTGATGATGGAGGAAAAAAATTTGGGGAAAAATTAAGTATGAAGTGCAAATATGGTAAATGTTGTAGGTATGGAATACAAATATTCAAAATGAAAACTGTTTTTTTTTTTAACCAAAAAACTTGCATTACAGAGAGTCGAAAGTGTCAACCTACAACAGGTGCAGCGGAAATTGAAAACAAAACTGTTTTTGCTAAAGAGAAAGTTTTTACATTTGCTAAACGCGAGACATAATCTAAAGGAGATAGAGGCGAAAGAGTGAGAAAAAGTTTTTTATAATCCTAACCCCTAAAATCTCAAACTCTAAATCCTAGGAATAATCCTAAAATCTATATTCTAGTGGTAATCATAAAGTTTAAACCCTGACATTAATTCTAAAATTTAAACTTAGAGTTTAAGGTCTAAATATTTTAGGGTTTAAGGTTTTGATGTCGTTAACAACGTGCGATTAATATTATTTTTAATAATTTTTTTTAACTTTTTTCCTAAATAAATTTTGACTTGGTAAATTCTTTATGGTGGTTATACGGCCATATAAAATTTTCATTAGGGTTTTACGTTAGTTATTGGGCCACTCTGTAAAGCCCATGTAATATTACTTTTTATTACACTAGATAATATATGTAATGTATGCGACAGGAATATATTATTGTTTCCGACAATAATGGTATACTTGCTAATTATTACTCCCTCCGTTCCTTAAAGATACATATTCTAGAAAAAAATTTTGTTTCTAAAAGATCCATTTTTTACATTTTCAATGCATGTTTTATTAATTAATTGTAAACTTCAAAAAACTTAATTGCACTAATCGATTTTCTATTGGCTAAAAATTATGGAAAGAAGATAAATACAAAAAACAATGCAAATTAATTGTATTTTATTAAAAAGTGTGAAAAAACTAGAATATGGATTTTTTAGGAACAGAGGAAGTACATCACTAGCTGGAACCTGTAAAATAATTTGATTAATAATTTAATTTCCTTAAGGAAATTTTTTTCTTCTTCTATAAAACCCGGTTAGTCTATAAGTTAACGAAATCTCAAATCTTCTCCTACGCTCCCTACCCTTCTTCTCTCTGGATCGAGAAGAGCGTTTCGCACTTCGACCTACTCCAAATTGAATCCCTTAATTCTGCGCCGCTCCTCTCTGAATTTCACTTCTTCGCTAGCGTTTTGATAACTGCCAAAGTTAGTCGGTTCATCTTCGCCGGTGAATTTGGGTCTCGTTATTCAATGGAGAAAGTTTCTTCTCCGGTAAGAATTCTACTTCCTTTTATCGAATTAGTTTACTCTTCTCGTAGTTTGGCTCGGTGCGTTTAAATTGGACCCGATTAGTTTCTAGGGTTTCACTGGAGCAGAGAAGTTAAATTCGATTTTCACTAAAAGAATCTCCTTTTATTGTTGTTAGGTGGCAAAGTAAAGAACTTTCGTTTAGGGAATGAATTGAGTTTGTGTGTTCTGAGAGGGATGCGTGTTGCCTTGGTTCATCGTTCAAAAAATGGTTCTATTGGGTGAAGTTGTAAGAGATTTTGAATATGAGCAATGGAGTTGGAGAAGGTGGAAGAAGTCAGAGCAGAGAAAAGAGAAAGCTTTTTCAAGGCAATGATTTTGCCTACGCTATTGCAAGAATGGCTGTGGCTCAGATTTGCGAGAGTGTTGAGGTTAATGTGTATCCACAGACACGAGAGGGCGTTAGATTTAGCTCTTTTCAAGAATCTGCTCTTGATAAGCTAACCAGTGTCGCGGTTCAGTATATCCAGAGCATTGGGAAGACTGCTCAGTTTTATGCTAACGTAGCTGGTAGAGTAGAGGGTAATTCTCTGGACATTGTTCAGGCTTTAGAGGATTTGGGTGCTGGTGTTTCTGAAACTGACCGTTGTCTTGCTGATTCCAGTGTAGTCAAGGATGTTATTCGTTATACAGGTGAAGCGGAGGAGATGCCGTTTGTTTATGCTCTCCCTCGTTTCCCAGTTAATAAAGAGAAAAGACCTGCTTCTAGTTTCTATGAGGTTGGAGTAGAACCTCCAGAAGAACACATCCCGGTTTGGCTTCCTGCATTTCCGGGGACCAAATCTTGTAATCCATCAGAGGAAGCTAATGAAGGAGAAGTTGCGAGTAAAGAAAATGGGCCATCGTTACAGAGTATACAACATCCTTTCAATGGTGGTGGTGGTAGCTCAGAAGTACTCAAGTCTCCAAATGATGTTAGAAAATTAACAGAAGAAGTGGAAGGTAATCCCTTTCTTACCGCACCTCTTCGATTCGTGGAGAAGGGTGTGTTTTCTGTGTTCCACCCCCTGGAGCTTAGCATCAACTACGTCCCTGATAAGCATATTGGCAACAACCATAGCATCCCACTTCTTGAGGCATCTACTCCATCAGATGATACCAACAAGAAGAACGGGTTAGCTAAATCCGAGGACGGAGAGAAAGAAGATGGTGCAAGACCACAACAAACTTTGTTACGTTTCAAGATTGGAACTCTGAAGAGACCTTCGTGTTTGGCAATAAAGAGGAGCGTCCAGGAACAGGGGTGGTTTCATGAAGGTGGAGGAGACAAGAGGGAGAAGAAGTCAGTCATCGAAGAAAATCGTCAAAGGATTAACTTGGAAACTGTCGACTCAGATGTAAAATAGGTAATATGTCATTTTAGAATTTGTAGACAGAATAGCTTTGCATGTTGAGTTTAGTGATCGTTGGGAATTTAATACGTTACTTTGTAGGGTGAGAATTTGTTACTAATTCATAATGATGGAGAAAGAGAGGATTTACTAGTTAAAAATTGTTCTGATTGACCAATAAATATGCTCTTGGCACTTATTACTTTATTAATTAGACCTATATATATGCTTGTTACACAACCAAGTAGGAAGAGGATTACACAGAAACCATTTGGTTCTCTTCCTCATGATTCCTTCATTTACAATTCTCTGAAAATTAACAGAAGCAAACTTCACTAACCAAGTCTCTGAAAATCATTCTCTCAATATCTAACACCATTCCTGGATTCTCACCTTCAAACTCCTTCAAATTCATGCCTTGACTTTGCAGTTCCTCCCATATGATGTCTTCCTCATCATCCTCCAAGATACACTTTGATTTGTTCTCTTGTAACCTATCAATCTCCGAACACAGAGTCTGCAGAAGTTGCTCCCCTTTTGATCTTGTCTCCATTGTTGTAACTGGATTTGTGGTAAACCGTGGTTTGGTACAGCCTTCTGCAGTGAACCTCTGAGCTAGAATTTCGTTTACTGTATCGAAGATGAGTCTTCTCCTGATTTTCTCTGACAAATCGGTCTGCTGTTGTCTGAATCTTCTGTCTCTGTGTTTGTTGTCTAGTAGAGTCATATTGCTAGCCTTGTTCTCTTCCAGGACGAAGAACAGTCCAGGGCTGATAGGGACACGAGCTTGGTTCAGCTGGATGCTTATCTTGTTGTATTCAAGATCTCGTAGAAGCCCTGATGCCAACAATATCTCCGAGATGTACCTGTGGTCGCCACTTTTGAAGTTTGCATCTTCATCAGGGAAGCATTCGAGGAGATCAGAGTCTGGTTGTGTTGGACCCTTATTCTCAGGCAATAGTATGGATCTGCAGACGCTGGTAGGCTTAATCATCCACATAGATTCTTCAGAACGTAGAGCATCGTCCTCTGGCAAGAGAAAAAAATAAAAAATGAGAACAACACTCAAACCAAAACCCTTCTGAATCCATGAATCTAATTGACACTGACGATTTTTCTTTTGTTAGTGACTCACCTTTAAAACTAAGGGACATCTTCCTCACAGGGGACGGTGAATCTTCTTCGTCGAATGCTGCTGCATCAAGAACTGAAACAGGGCTAACTGTAATTTTCAGAGGCTTAAGAGATGATCTGTCTTGTCTGGTTCCAAAGTCTGGATTCTGCATTAGTAAAAAGAAGAGACTCAGCTAATGAATTAAATTGAGAAGTGAAGATTCGTGAGAGATATAGATCTGTTTCATACCTTTTTTGTTGGGGTGTGCAGCTCTGGGAAGTCACAGTTTCTCTCTAGCCGATGTTTGCTTGTAACCTCGATGTCAACATTCGATCCCAAGCTTATGTTGCTATCAGATGTTAAACTTCTCAAGTCACTGCTCGCATTGCTTACTCGGTCATCAGGTTGTTGAAGACTACTGCCAAGTTTTATCCCTTGTTTTCTTCTCGGTGAGACTGATTCCTGTTGCTGCCTTTGCATCTTGCCTGGCTCTGAATTTGAAGTAGTTGGTCGCGCCTGCCTCTCAAGCCCGAGCTTTTTGGGCTGCATTCTTGGGCTAACGCTTTGCTGTTGGCTCTTACCTGACTCCACCACCAAAGCTTGCCTCGACCTTAATGTTTTTGGGCTAGTGCTCTTAGTTGAATCGTGTTGGCCCTTGCAACCTGGCCTAGGGGTTAAATCCATCGCGTTTTGCTTCCCCGAGGTGACTTTTCGAGTTTGTTTGGTGTTGCTAACGTTGACAGTTGGCAAGGCTGCTTTCTGTTGCAGCGAACAAGTAGAAACTGGAGCTGCTGGTTTCATTACAACAATCGACGTAGATTTGACGTTCATGGCTGGAACTGGCTGGTGACTTTTCTGCAAGGGCTGCGTCTTCTCCATAGCCTCAAGACTTTGCTTAAGAGCTCTGAGATCTTTTCCAGCCTTTTTAAACTCCAACTGCGTAAGCCTCTTCCGAATCTCTCCATAAACCGTCGGTGCGTTCTCGCCTGCTTTCATTTGCTTCCATGGAGCTGGTTCCATTGGAGACTTAGATGCAGCTATCTTCTTGATCGAATCAACGCTTCTTGATATCTGTAGAGCTGTTGGTTCTACTCGTGATGGTGGCCTTGGGGAGTCACAAAACAGGTTCTCTTTTCTCTGCTCGGTTTCAAAATTGTCTGCAATGACTTCAAGACCCATCAGTTTAGCAACAACACTCGAAGTCGATCTCCTGTGACTCACTATTACAGGTTCTTGTGGTGCAGGACTTGATCTACTGTCCAAGGACAACCTAGGTGTTTCTTTCAACTTCGAGCCCGTCTTGTATCCGTTGTTTCTCATCTCCCTCTCGTCATAAGAAAGCCGGTGACTCTCCTTAAACTTTACAGCCATTCCTCTACCTTCATTCCACTCATTAGAACTCCTAGATGGGGAAGGCAATGTTGTTTCTTCACATCTGGTTCTCATTTCTCTATTAATAGAGCCTTTTACAAGATCCTTTATATCAAACGGCATCATTGGTCCAGCATTGGGCTGTTCTCTGATCTGTTTCTCACCAGGCTGCTGTGAAGCCGTGGTACTGACTTTACCATATTTCGTGTTGTTTAAAAAGTACCTAAACCCATTCCAAATTTTTATATATGTTTGTTAAACTTATCTTTATGGTACATGTGAATCATTTTAAATTTCCAATGATTCATTTATTTAACATTCAAATACCACTTAATATGTGGATTAACCCCAATAAAAATCCTAGTTTCTGGAGAAACAAAAACATTTAAGGTCCAAAACCTATTTAATATTCATACTATGGCGGTGTATGATGCATCTATGCATTAAAACAAAAATTTTATTTTTTATAATTTTTTTTGAAATATCTGGGCTATCCACTATGAAAAAACTGAATTTTCCGTTAAATACTATATATACTATTTACCAACGTTAGAGTTGTTTAAAAAATACCTAAACCCACTACAAATTTTTAAATATGTTTTCTAAACTTATCTTTATGGTACATGTGAATCATTTTCAATTTTCCAATGATTAATTTATTTAACATTCATATACAACTTAATATGTGGATGAACCACAATAAAAATTCTATTTTCTGTAGAAACGAAAATATTTAAGGGTTCAAACCTATTTAATAGTCATACTATGTCGGTGTATAATGCACATATGCATTAAAACAAAAACTCCATTTTTTATAATTTTCATGAAATATGTGGGCTAACTAACCCCTATGAAAAAGCTGAATTTTCGAGTTAAATACTATATATACTATTACCATCTTTCGTGTTGTTTAAAAAATACCTAAACGCACTCGAAACTTTTATATATATTTGCTAAACTTATCTTTATGGTACATGTGAATCATTTTAAATTTTCCAATGATTAATTTATTTAACATTCAAATACCACTTAATATGTGGATTAACCCCAATAAAAATTCTATTTTCTGGAGAAACGAAAACATTTAAGGACTCAAACCTATTTAATATTCATACTATGGCGGTTTATGATGCAGCTATGCACTAAAACAAAAATTCAATTTTTATATTTTTCTTGAAATATGTGGGCTAGCCCCTATGAAAAAGCTGAATTTTTGAGTTAAATACTATATATACTATTACCATCTTTCGTGTTGTTTAAAAAATACCTAAACGCACTCGAAACTTTTATATATATTTGCTAAACCTATCTTTATGGTACATGTGAATCATTTTAAATTTTCCAATGATTAATTTATTTAACATTCAAATACCACTTAATATGTGGATTAACCCCAATAAAAAATCTATTTTCTACAGAAACGAAAACATTTAAGGACTCAAACCTATTTAATATTCATACTATGGCGGTTTATGATGCAGCTATGCACTAAAACAAAAATTCTATTTTTTATAAAAAAAATTGAAATATGTGGGCTATTCCCTATGAAAAGCTGAATTGTTCGTTAAATAATATATATACTATTTACCATCGTTCGTGTTGTGTAAAAAATATCTAAACCCATTCCAAATTTTTATTTATGTTTTCTAAACATATCTTTATGGTACATGTGAATCATTTTAAATTTTCCAATGATTAGTTTATTTAACATTCAAATACCACATAATATGTGGATTAACCCCAATA